TTTAACTTTCGGCTAAGTCTTCCTACATCGCCAGCGGCTGAGGGGGTGGTGTAAATCCAGCTAGGGTTCATGCAGGTAGCAAAAGTAATGTAAGTCCACATGGTTCCTAGTATGGTGATCTACCTTCAGTTGTTGGCGATCTATAGCCCGTGTTTTATTTTGTATTTTCTTCTTTAATTAAAATCTTTTAGTTTGACATGCTAGTTTTATGTTCATATATGTGATATTCTAGTATTTTGACTGTCCATCGTCGACAGGTTTTACTCTCCAAACTGTTTTCATTTTTAATTGTATAAATTGGTTTCGTCACGATATGGCTGGGATATTGCCAATGTGACGTTAAATATTAACCCACTCACCCAGACAGCGAATGGGACTTCTCCCTGGAAACGCTGCCTAGTCAAACCCACCAAGAACTTTCTGAATAATATGTACACTCCTCAACACTCTAGCCGTCTGCATTACCCAAAGTGTCAGAAGGGCTGTGCTCCCGGTGGAGAACCCCGGGCACGCTCTTGATCTGCGCCAAGAGATCAGGAGGTACCAAACCAAGGGCACCGAGAACAATGTGGAGCCTGACGACAGTGTACTTGGGATGCAAGCGAGACATTTCAAAGGCGAGGTCCGCATATTTAGCATGCTTTTCCTAAATCTTGCCAATCAGGTTGCTGTCAAACGGGACAGATAATTCAATGATATACAAAAATTGGCTTTATCAAAAAGGACAACATCGGGTTTGTTGGCTGGAATTCTTCTGAGGCTATATATGGGCTTAATCCACAGATTTTTAAAGCTGTCATTTTCCATGACGCCGTGGACATTTTCAGGATCGTATCATGGATGGACCTCGGAGTCAAAGCCACAGGCATGGCGAAGACAGTAGTGGAAGCAACGAGCCATGCCATCATGTCTTTTCAGATTTGCTGTTTGTGCCAAGGAAGGGATTCCACTGACAAGGTGTTGGACAGTTTCTGTAAATTCATTGCATAATCGACATTTCATGCACATATTTTCTTTAAGAATCGCATTTAGGCGATTGCCTAATTTCTGCTAAATGTTTCCTACAATCGCCAGCGGCTGAAGGGATGGTGTAAATCCAACTATGGTCCATGCAGGCAGCAAAAGCACTGTGTAAGTCCCAATGATGCCTAATATGGTGATCTACCTCCAGTTGTTGGCGATCTATAGCCCATTTATATTCTTTCTTGTCTTAATTTGAAATCCAATTTTAGAGACAGATGCTAGTTTTAATTCTTGATACTGTGATATTCTAGTTGGTTTAATTACTGTCCTTCGTTGACAAGTTTTTATAATTTACATGAATTTATGGTCAATTTGTTTTAGCCACGATATAGCTGAAATTATGCCGATGTGACTGTAAATTTTAACTCACTCACTCACTCTCCACAAATGACCGACTCTGGGCAGACTTGGTGTAGGACTTCACCTGGTTTACTCCCATCCCTGTACCGTCCAGCAGTACATCGCCATCAACAAAATCAACGTCAAATTTCAGATTCTGCCCAATGTCCTTGGCACGCTTAAGATAGCTGTGGAATTCCTTGCTTTCAACATGAGTCTTGCATCACCAGAGGATCATCCGCTAAATAAATATGTGCAAAGGTACACAGTAAAATAATATAATGAAGAGCCTCCACATTAATCAAACCCCAACCACCCGAATTGATTGGCATAAATAAACGATTAAGAGAGGAACGAGGGTTGTGGGCTCTGTTATTAGACATGTCTCTCATCAGAGAACTTCGCAACCACAACGTAAAGTGAAATGATTGCGTGCAATGCTACAGTAAATGAAGGAAGACGTAATGCAAAGGTCGTAAATTATAGTGAGTGAGTGTGATTTTACGCCGCTTTAGCAATATTCCAGCAATATCACAGCGAGGAGCACCAGCAATGGGCTTCACATATTGTAACCATGTGGGGAATCGAACCCGGGTCTTCGGCGTGACGAGTGAGTGAGTGCGTGAGTGAGTGAGTGTGAGTGTGAGCGTGCGTGCGCGTGCGAGTGCGAGCGTGCGTTTAATTTAAGTCACGTCAGCATTTTTTTTTGCTATATTGTGACTTGATCAAGTTATACAGTGGTAATTTTAAAACCTGTTATCGGTGGACAGAATGAAAACTAGCAATATATCACATATGTGTTTTAACACTAGTTATAGAACATTGAAACTGTCCGACTACTTGGCACGATGTATAAAGATGATACTGCTGGTCTCGTAACTTTGTTTCAGGTTTTTCACACTGGCCTAAAGATTCATTGGTCAGTCCAGATATCACACGTGACAACTATTTTCACGATGTCCAGGGTTCTATTTAGGTTATATTTAGGAAGAGAACAATGAGCAATCTATCAACGTATTATTGGTTCATCTATTTACACAGTCCCTAGTATGGTGATCTCCCTACAGTTGTTGGCGATCTACAGCCTGTTTTTACATTGTATCATCCTCAACAGTTCAACTGTTTGAGATTTAATTACTAGTTATAGTTTTAAATTTGTATCTGTGATAATCTAGCTGTTTTAGTCCTCCGTTGACAGATGTTCCCGAGGTCGGGTCTCCTGGCTCTCAGTCCAATCTCTCTCAACCTGTCCCGTACAGTTTGACAGGATATCCACCGAAGTCCAGGCACCCTGGCTGATGTGCTCTCACCCGTGGCAGTACGATCCGATCACGCAAATGTAGTACCCGGATGTACCGATCTTGGGCTGCAGTGGTGACTCGAGGTCTGCCTGTACAGGGACGGTCATTTGTTATACCTGCTTGGTTGTAACGAGCTGTAAGCCGTGATATCGTGCTAAGACTAACATTCAGACGCCTGGCGACAGAAAATTGGTAATCTCCAGCGTGCATTCTTTCAATGGCGATGTTCCGTGTCGCAGCGTCAAGACTTGGCGTAGAGATTTGTCTTTGAAACGCCTTCAAAACGGATGCCGATTGCCGAAAGTAATCTGGATTTTATAGCCAGACAGTGCATGCTCTTTGCTGCACAATTTCAACTGGAAGGTGATTTATGTTGCGTTGTGGCGGTGCCTTTTTAATTCTTGTAAGAAATCTCATCAAAATCAACATTTTCAGGTAAAGTCGACTCTTCACTTGTGCAATTGTGTAAAATCATGTTATCAACACTTTTGTTACATATTTTGACGATTGTTTGAACACAAAAGGTAATTAATAGATTTTTAAAAATACAAAATACCTGTGCGTTTCATTTTGGTATAGTGTATTTTACATTTGGGAACCATACTGATGTAGCTTTGTCAGAGTGGTTACGCGAATTATGCCTGTTATATATACGTTAACTGAGCATCAAGCGAATGGTGGAAAACTCACGGGGGTAGGTTTCTGTCACAAAACATGAATGACAACTAGGAATAAATAGGAATGTAGTAATTGTGCACAATGTAAAAACCTGAAGTGTCGTGGTTGTTTTAGGATATTAAGGGAACTTATTTGTTTCATAAAATAATATGTACATGCATTTGCTAAGGGACCGTTCATAATTTATGGCTAATGGGAGGTGATATTGATTTTAAGTGTGTGTGTGTTGGGGGGTTGGGGGTGCGTGCGTGCGTGTGACCCATTTTGTTCTCTATGTACTATAGGGTGGGTCAGCAATTTTGTACATGATATGCAGGGGTGGGGTGGGGTGGGGTGTCCCTTACTTTGTACATAATTTAAGGGTGGGGGTGGGTGGGGAAGGGGTTTAATTCACTTTGCAATTGCTTCTCCATAACAATCATTACCCGCTCTAGCCATAAATTATGAGCGGTCCCTAAAGGTAATAATTGTATATGCATATTCAGGCATGCGGATTTTGATATTATAGCAATGGTAAAATGCGGTTGAATTTGTTTACTGTTGAATACACCAAATGTGTGTTTTCATTACTATAGGTCAGAAATGGGATCCACATGAAAAAATGTACGCACTGCTGGGATACTTCATCGAAATCAGACTAGACCCATCGAGGTTATTTCCAAATAAGGGCATCTGGTGGGCATCCACCCTTCTCATTGAGTCTTGGTCAAAAGCCCCTCCTTACAAAAGCCCATCAGGACAAAAGCCCCTCGAAAAATGACATAAGAAGTCCCTCACTTTGTGTATTAATGGAAAAATAAGATTAAAGACAAGAAATGAGTAATGACATGAAAACATTTATTGTTTCATAATAAACTTGACCATAAATAATATATAAATTAATATGTAGTTAGCAAATAATTTGAGTGAATATTGATGTTGATTCCGCAAGGTGGTGTAATCCATTATCTGTGGCGAACAAAAATGGTCACATGTTCTTCATTTCTTTTACATTGATGCGATAAAATATTTAAATGCTTTATAAAATATAAAAAAAGCAATGAGAAAAGTTCATTATACTTTATTAAATATAAACTACTTTTTCCTACTTAAAATACTGTATAAAATATATAAGAACAGTGAGAAATGTTCTCATTCTTATATGAAATACATGAACTGAGGGGCTTTTGACAGGGGTGCTCACATTAGCGAGGGACGTTTAGAACCAAGGTGCTTCTATCCTTCTCTTTGTGTGCGTGTTTAGTTTGAAGAAATATATTTACACATGCCCTTTGCCATTGCGTTATTAAATATATAGCGTCAAAGTTTATGTCCTCCGTCCTAAATAGATAACCCAGTCTCGTGTCACGCTCTGTTCCGTCCGTCGGCAAATCGTCTTATGCCAGGTAATCAGACCCGATCAAACTGCTGGGTTACAGCCATAGATCAGCACCCCTTTGTATTTATAGAAAGGGCAGCGGTCGCTATACTTGCAATAATAAATGAATGTTGTTTTCCAGAAAGCTTGCCTTAATGTTAATTATGTTTCAAAATATATTTATAGTAATTATAATTTTGCATGAAGAGTTGAAACGAATTTGCTGTTGCTTAAAACGCACGAGTTACCTCTGGCTCGCTTTAAATCTGATTTCTATTTTGACTCTAACACAAACCGGAAGTGTTATTTGTATACGTTAGCAACTTGTGAGAAAGAGTATCTATCATCACTATAGATGGTTCGAACAGGTGTCGGTAGTATAAACAAGATCACGAGAAAGCTGTGTGTACATTTTTTCAGTCGGAAATAAAACGCAGCGTTCTAGAATGTAGAGAAGAAAAAAGTTAGAATCCTAGACAACGTATTTGCTGTGAAATCGCGACGATACATTGTCGATAGATCTAAACAAGGTGGTGGTGATTGTGTTGATGTGAGATCGCGTGGAACCCAGTCGTAATTTCTCATTTGCGGCATTCAGGCCGTCATGAATACTGATCTGAAACATATAACCTTAGAGAAATACCCGTGAGTCACCCCGTTTGGTTAAGGATAGTATCCTAGTATTCTGTGTCGAACAACTGGGTACATTGCCTGGCTATGGCCAGGAGACTTAATCGATAAAACTAAATCCAGTTTTATTGTGTCAGGAGTGCGCTACACATTTGATTGAGAGGAATGTTGCCTGTAATGTTTTATGAGGTCATCAAGAAGTTTTACCCAAGACGTTGAGGAGGCTTTTGAAAATAGGAACATTAATCATTTATTAAGTTTAACAGCAAGTCTGTGTACTTGTGTGAGCCTGATCAGACTTACGGGTGTAGACTGGGAAGTGTCAGCTGTAAATTATGTAGAGACTGCAGTAAGGATACTGATTGAACTTTAACAGCGTAATCATTTGGGTCACAATGCCCGTGAAACAGCAGGATAGAGCGGACATGTTTAAGGGACCACAAGAACTACATAAACTGGATCTCAGGCAGTTTGGAGGTCACAAGGATGAGGTGAATATTGTTACTTTCAGTGGAAATTTTGAGTGATTAAAATGTGTCCTAATGTATATGATGAAAAATATCTATATGTTGCAAAATTAATGACATTAATTAAAGCCATTTTCATATGTGTTATTGACAAATAAATATGTTGTGATTGATATGGTACATATAGATTCTAATTGAATTTATATTCAATATGAATTAATATTAATTTGTGAGATAATTTAATAAGTTGATGCAGATTATATTGGAATGATTTATATTACATACATGCATGCATGCAGGTTTGCGCACACATGCACACACACACGAACATATTACTACACTTCTCTATTAAATATCTACTCTGCTAAGTAGGGCTGCAACGAATACACTATGTGGCGAATATGATACGTATCATGAATATTGGGTAACCAATACGAATAATTATTTACGAATACAATATTGTAGTTAAGTGATTGATGTACAATATGGAATGCCCATGTTGACAGTTTTGATTTGTCACAGCATTAACCAGTGATCTCATGACACTCAAATTTGGTATGTAATAGTTATAGTCGACAGTACCATGTGCGGCCTTGGCAAACTAACATCACTTGCGCTACTGCAATGCCAGTTTATATTCAATCCTTGCGTATCTCACTTTCCAAAAGTACACAAGGGTTCAAGTAAAACATGCTCCCTTAAAAAATCGTAAATATTCGTTAATATTCGGTTCTGGTGACCACGAATAACGAATTGAATTCATGAAGGGCTACGGTTCAATTCACCGAATATGCGAGTGAATCGTTACAGCCTTACTGCTAAGTTTCTACTACTCTAGTGCTTCCTGTAAAGGACATTACAAACAATCAGGTGATGTATCATTATCTGTTGTTTCAGCTCAGTACTCTTCCTGGGCTACCCTATTACCTAAAAAGGGGAGATCACAAGGAGTTGTTGTTTTAACAATGTGTGGTAGTATTTGGATATGGAAGTTTTGGAATGTGGATGTTTTGGGATATATCTGTCCACATGATCAGTGATTCATTCCCAGGCTCTAAAGAAATTATCCAAACATACAGTTCTCTACACTGTTCCTTCACAGGACCCTCATAATAGTCATATTGCCTGCAAGGACCCTTGAAATAAATAATCGAGGTAAAACCATGCTGACACATTTGTTTGGTTTACTGATCTACCACCCTGTGTAGATCACCCAAATGCTGAGAAAATAATGAAATTATGAAACGATGACAGTCGTTGATTAGAGCTGCAACAATTCGGTTCAAATATTCGAAAATCGAATCTGATACCTTAATTTCCTTTTTCGACAGTCATTATCACTATTTTGATTTGATATTTGAATATCTATTTAAATTATTTCCACACAGCGAGAACGCAATTTTGACTCCAACTCGAACAGTTTCAAGCGCTGAAATAAGGCAAAATGTGATTGGTTGGTGCCAGGCTAATTATCCAATGAGAATCGTTGTTAGTAGACATTGCCAAGTTGACAATGGATTTCACGCTATATCATTTACATTCCTGATTTCCAAGTCAAATCTTGAACAAAGTTTTCAGTTTGATACGTTTTGTTTAACAAACTCTGAGAGTTAAATGAAATCTGATGTTTTACTTGAATGAAGAATCGAATCGAAAAAGAGCAAATCAAGAGTCCAATATCGAAAATCGAATCAAATCGTGGTCTGGGTGAATCATAGCAGCCCTAATGATCGTTGATATTCCTGATGGGACTACATACACCCCTCAACAAGGATGATAGTTTTTGATTAAATGGGACCATTTTTAGTCTCAAAGTATGTAATAAAGTTGGCATGATAGTAATATAAGTATATCTCTGATAGCTGTTAACATAGTGTACTGTCTTTGATAAGTGTTAACATAGTGTACTGTCTTTGATAACTGTTAACATAGTGTACTATCTTTGATAACTGTTAACATAGTGTACTATCTTTGATAACTGTTAACATAGTGTACTATCTTTGATAACTGTTAACATAGTGTACTATCTTTGATAACTGTTAACATAGTGTACTATCTTTCATAACTGTTAACAAAGACTGTCCAATTTTGGAAAAGGCAAAATGGAAGTTAATAAAATCGAATTTTCCCCAGAATATCAGTTTTGCTGAAGCAAAAAAGATTGTCCTATCTACTGAACATTACACGGAAACGCACGCCTCAGTCACCCAAACACCTGAAACGCCCTCAAAACGACATCACTTTTCACCAATAATGATCAAGGCCAAGTTCATGTCAGACTGACCTGACATGGGTGAATACAGATATTCCCAAGTCTATCTCCCCTGAACAGTCTACTCAGACAGATACAATAGTTTCTACCAACAAATCAGATCTCCTACAACCATCACTCCTTCTCAGTTTGATAGAAATGAAAACAAACTGCCAAATCGAAATTCAAGACCAGAACAGAAACGCCCAAATCAAATCGAACACCTAAAGGGTCAGAAAATAAAATAAAATTGTTTAACAAGTTTGATCACTGGAGGAAATGGATGTATCTGATCATTATTCCATCCCAGGGCACATAGCATGTCGCTCCTCAAAGACAGTGCGGGTAGATCCCCAATCAACCCTCCTAAACGATAGTCCATTCCAAAACTATAGTACAGTGGAACTGTAGAGGATTAAGGTCCAATTTTAATGAGTTACAGCTATTAATCCAAGATTTTGCACCATCAGCTTTCTGTCTGCAGGAAACTTATCTGAAGAAGACAGATATTTTTAATTTACGTCGCCAGTTCGTTGCATATAATTCTTTTCACCTCCGGGTGACAGGGCCACTGGAGGGTCTTCGATACTTGTTAAGCAGGATGTTATCCATAGTCCTGTAACACTCTCAAGTAATCTCCAAGCCGTTGCAGTGAGACTTACTCTTCATGTTACCTTTACACTATGCTCTCTGTATATTCCCCCTTCTTCAACACTCCAGCAGTCTGATCTTCTCAAGCCTCTATGACCAACTTCCTAAACCTTGTCTTATAATGGGTGATCTCAATGGCCATAACCCGATCTGGGGTGGTACAAACACTAGCCCAAAAGGTAAAGTACTGGAAGATTTTATATCCAATAATGATTTGTGTATATACAATGACGATTCAAGCACTTACCTGCATCCTGCAACCGCACCTACTCTTCTCTAGATTTGTCTCTTGCAGACTCTAACCTCCTCAATGAATTTGATTGGTCAGTCCACAATGACCTCTGTGGAAGTGACCACTTTCCAACTATCCTATCAGCAATTTATCCATCTGATTCTACATCTTATACAAGATGGCAATTTTCCAAGGCAGACTGGTCCTTATTTCAAACGTTATGCACATCTAAACTAAGACCCAATATTTCAGTGATATAACTGATCCTATTGAGGTTTATTCTGACGTTTTAAATGAAATAGCTGATGAATGTATACCAAAGTCCTCTACAACTCCACATGTACGGAAACCATGGTTTAATACAGATTGTAGGCAAGCCAGAAAAGCGAGGAAAAAGGCAGAGAACTATTTCCGCCTATCACCCAACTGTCCATAACTTAAATAAATTTAAAATACTCAATGCTAAGGTCGCATCTTCAAACAAAACAAACGCACAATCTTTGAGGAACTATGTTCCAAAATTAATTCACGTGACGCCAATGTCCAGAGTATGGAACATGGTTCAAAGAATTAAAGGCAAAGGTTCCAAATCTGCTTGTTCATCATCTTAAAGATGGTGATAATTTAATTACTGACAAGTCTAAAATTGCAGATAAAATTGGTTAAACTTTGCCAAAAAATTCTTCATCGGTAAATTATGTCCCTGAGTTTCAGAGATACCAGAAACAACAGGAAAAGACTAAACTTAATTTCAATCCAATAACGGTGAAGATTATAATGAAGTGTTTTCATTATATGAGCTACATACTGCTCTTGGAGCAAGCTCATGACACTGCAGCTGGTGATGATCATATCCATTACCAGCTACTGAAACACTTTACCTGAACCATGTCTGATGACACTTTTAGATATATTTGACAAAATATGGACGTCTGAGAATTTCCTCCTTCATGGTGTAATGCCATTGTAGTCCCAATACCAAAACCTGGCAAGGATCATACAGATCCGTCTAATTACAGACCAATATCTCTCACTAGCTGTGTCTGTAAAACCATGGAACGTATGGTGAATAATAGACTAACTTGGTATCTTGAAACCAATAACCTTATAACAAATATTCAATGTGGTTTCAGGAAAATTGTAGAGTACCATTGATCATTTGGTACGCTTAGAATCCTTTGTTAAAAATGCAATCAGAATAAACAACATGCTGTATCGATATTCTTTGATCTCGAGAAAGCATAACACGATACCACTTGGAAGCATGGCATTTTGAAGGATTTACATGATTTTGGTTTGAGGGTCGTTTACCTCTTTTTATATCACAGTTTTTTAAGAGGCAGGCAATTTCAAGTCCGAGTGGGTTCTACCCTGTCTGACCATTATAATCAGGATCAGGGTGTCCCTCAAGGCAGTATTTTGTCGGTCACTTTATTTAGTATCAAGATTAACAGTTTGTCAAAAGTTTTAAATGATTCAATTGATGGATCTCTATTTGTGGATGATTTTAATATTTCTTGTCATGTAAGAATATGCATACTATTGAACGGCAAATGCAGCTGTGTTTAAATAAAATAAATAAATGGTGTCTTGAAAACGGCTTTAAATTTTCTAAATCAAAAACTAATTGTATACATTTTTGTAGAAAATATAAACCGCTAAAAGACCCAGAACTGTTTCTCAATGGCACTCCCATCAAAGTTGTAAAGGAGGCCAAGTTCTTTGGTTTAATATTTGATTCTCATTTAACGTTTCTTCTGCATATTAAATCCCTTTAAACTAAATGCATGAAGGCACTTGATTTATTGAAAGTCGCTTTCAAATTCTAAGTGGGAGGGGATCAAGCCACTCTCCTACATCTATATCGATCATTGGTTCGCTCAAACTTGA